AAGATCTTCATGCCTGCGTTCAATTTCCAGAAGCCCGAGGAACTGGTGGAAATGGTTTTCGAGGCTTATAAAAAGTCTTTAACTACAAGGATTTGTGGTTGTCTCAAAGTACCAGACATGCAATGGATGAGAGATGAATACCTGCTAGAGACGTATGGGGATCAACTTTGTGAATCCTGCTTCTGGAAATTGGAGTGTGCCAATTTCTGGTGGGTAGTACCGTCGTTTGCTATGGATTGGCCACGTTGATTGCATCAGTAGTCGTCAAAAAGACTTCTGTTTAGTTAAGTAGATTTGTTTTTATTATGAAGTAGACTTATGAAGTTATGTTGTGTTATTTATGTTGTGTTAAGTAGATTTATGTGTTATTCATTTCGAAAGCTATTAATTATAACAAATCTACCAAAAATAATAATAAGTCTACCATTCGTTCGACTGAAATTGGGGACATGACAAGTCTTTTACAACAAATCTACCAACAATATAATAAGTCTACCATTCGTTCAACTGAAATTGGGAACATGACTATTAATTATAACAAATCTACCAAAAATAATAATAAGTCTACCATTCGTTCGACTGAAATTGGGGACATGACAAGTCTTTTACAACAAATCTACCAACAATATAATATAAGTCTACCATTCGTTCAACTGAAATTGGGAACATGACAAGTCTTTTACAACAAATCTACCAACAATATAATATAAGTCTACCATTCGACTTAATATAAATCTACTAAACATAAGGAAACGGACTTGTATTGGTTTTCCACCTGCTTAAATGTACTGTACTTTAGTTGGTAGAGCTATAAACATTACAAGTACATATGTTTTATTAATGGTAGACTTAGTAACCTATATGGTAGATTTGTTTGTAAATTGTTAGATTCAATATCAATGTGGTAGACTTAGTTATCGGGCAGTGCGATTTTACTTTTTTGCCCTGTATGTATTGTCTAAAGTACGGAACAAAACCAGAGTCCATCTTCAACCTCTAGGTTTCACCGTCGAGCTGTTAAACTTGGGATAACTCTTGATTTTTTCCTTCTACTTCGATCTTCTGCCTCTTATCCACTTTTATATTCATGGATCAAGTTGTTTTGGTTTGTGGTAACTGGGTTTTAAAGAAAACGAGGTGGGTCTTCATCGTAGATCAGTCCAGGAGATGTAGTTTTATAGGGATAGACCGCAAAACGTCATTTGCCGATTTGGTTGAAATCGCATATGAAGATTTTGGGTTGGATCAACATCTTTATGAGCTTCAGTTCAGCTATATGTTGTCGTCTGAAGTCCGACGGAAATTACCTCTGGATACACCTCCTGTGTTTGTTGGTAATTCAAGACAGCTGCAGAGTTTTTTGCATCAATTCCAGAACGAAAACGAAACGGTTCGTTTATGTGTTGAGATCAAAGAAAAAGTTCAGAAGGGAGTTGTTGATGAAGACGAAGATCGAGATGCATGTCCTAGTCTAGTCCCTGAAGAACAAGTGCGCCAAGATCGTCCGCAAGAAGGTGTCGAAGTTGGACAAGACGAAGAAATGCATGATGAAGAAGAGGATTTGTCAACCAGATTTGATGGATGTGAAGATCCTGATGGTGCAAGTTCCGATGACGAAGAGTACGAAAGACGTGAGAAACGTCCAGATGGTGAAAGTTCAGATGAGGAGGAGTCGCTAAATCTACCACCGAAGAAAAGGGGACCGACTACAATTCCCGACTTTCAAAGTCTAGAGCTTTCATCTTTAGACTTAGCCGTTGGCCAGCGTTATGAAACAAAAGAGGACTTCGAGATGCGACTCAAAATTCTTTCCATTGCTCACAAATTCGACTACAATGTCGATCATTCGAGTAAGAAATTGCTAACTGTTAAGTGTTGGGTAGATGGTTGCAAATGGAGGGTTCGCGCTTCAACTGTTGGGAGCAGCAAATGTTTTTGGGTTAAAACTTATACTCGAGAACACACGTGTTCTGTGACTGTGCGATCACAACGCACCCGCCATGCAACCCATGAGGTTCTAGGCCGTCTATATAAGGACTTCGTCGGCGGTGTTGGCCCAAAAGTCTTACCAAATCACGTCGCCGAAGCTCTGACCAAACGATATAGTATAAAGGTATGTGGTAGAGTTATATTATTTCTTTGGTAGAGTTATTATCTCTTTGAGTAGACTTTTATTATTTTGGTAGAGTTATTAGCGCAATTGGTAGACTATTTATTTTTTGGTAGAGTTATTAGCTCAATTGGTAGACTTTTTTTAATTTTTGGTAGAGTTATTAGCTCAATTGGTAGACTTATATAATTTATTTGGTAGACTTATATAATTTATTTGGTAGAGTTATTATCTACCATGGTAGAGTTATTATTTTTGTGGTAGAGTTATTATCTTATTTCGTAGACGTCACTATATTATTTCTCATTATAAGGTTGACTATTGGAAAGCACATCGGGCCCTAAAGTATGCTCGAGAACTAGTATCAGGGACGTCTGAAAGTGGTTATGAAGATCTGCCTTCATACTTATATATGATTCGGCGAGCAAATCCGGGTACACTAATCAAGCTAGAAGTTGATGAGGAAGATAGATTCAAATTTATGTTCCTCTCATTTGGCGCAAGCATACAGGGGTTTCCCTTCATGAGGAAAGTGGTAGTGGTCGACGGTACGTTTTTACATGGAAAATACAAAGGTACCCTACTACTCGCCACCACGCAAGATGGAAACTTCAACATTTTTCCCGTAGCCTTTGCTGTTGTTGATACTGAGAACGATGAGTCTTGGGAATGGTTTTTTACACAACTACACCGTGTTATTCCTGATGATGAAGGACTTGCCATTATTTCTGATAGGCATAAATCCATAGGAAATGCTATAGGGAAGGTTTATCCTCTTGCTAGTCGGGGTATTTGTACATATCATCTCCATAAGAACATTATGGTGAAATTCAGAGGCGCTGAAACATTCAAGCTTGTTAAGAAGGCTGCCACTGCTTATAGACTTCTCGAGTTCAATGCCCTTTTTGCTCAGATTCAAGAGGCAAATCCTGCACTGCATGCATACTTGGTGAAGGCAGATATTTGTATGTGGAGTCGTGTACACTTCCAAGGTGATAGGTACAATTTTACCACTAGCAACATAGCGGAGTCATTAAACAAGGTGCTATCTGCTGCAAGAGGTAAGCCTATCGTACGACTAGTGGATGATATAAGGAGTCTCCTGACCAGGTGGTTTGCTAAAAGACGTGTGAATGCCAATAACATGGCTACCACTCTAACAACGGGCGTTGAAAAGTTGTTGGAGGTAGTCACTACTTTACCTTGTAGACTTTCTATTATTTGGTAGACTTGTATCTGCTATTAGGTAGACTTTCTATTATTTGGTAGACTTGGCACACTTATCTCTGCTATTAGTAGACTTTCAATTATTTGGTAGAGTTATTACTTCTATGTGGTAGACTTGTACTGCTATTAGGTAGACTTTCTATTATTTGGTAGACTTGGTACACTTATCTCTGCTATTTAGTAGACTTTCAATTATTTGGTAGAGTTATTACTTCTATGTGGTAGACTTATATAACTTCTGAATAATTCCTTGCCGACAGGCTAGAGTTGAAGATGCTAAACTCTTACCTGTGCAAGAGATTGATCAGCATCGTGCAGAGGTTTTAGGCACAACATCTGCACATGTTGTCAATTTAACGGAAAAAACATGTACTTGTCGACGGTTTGATTTGGATAAAATTCCTTGCGTACATGCCATAGCCGCCGCCGATAGGAGGAAGTTGTCGCTGATCTCTCTTTGCCATCATTACTACCACACTAGTTACTTGTAACAAGCGTATGCTGTTAGTGTGATGCCAAGAGACGTAGCACTCCTTGTGCCAGATGAAGTAGCAACCAAAATTTGTCTCCCGCCTGATGTTCGCAACCGACCCGGCAGGCCAAAGAAAATTCGGATTAAGGGTGCGTTCGAGGCCGCCATGGCGAGTAAACGTCCTCGGAAGATCCCCAAATGTGGTAACTGGGGCCAAGGCGGACATAATCGCCTAACTTGTCGAGCTTAGTTGACAAATCGAAAACCTTGTATTTGTACTATTATAGACTGCAATAATCCGCTTGAAAACCTTGTTTTATGTACTTGTAAATCTGGAACTTTTTTTACCTAAACTCTACTATTTTACAATAATAAATCTACCAATCATGCTATAAATCTACCAATACTGCAATAAATCTACCAATCATGTTATAAATCTACCATTCATGGAATAAATCTACCAGTCATGTTATAAATCTACCAATATTGCAATAAATCTACCAATCATGTTATAAATCTACTCATGGAATAAATCTACCAATCATGTTATAAATCTACAAAGCAAGTTCCTTTTACAGCCATGGCGATTCGCTTTAAATTCCAAAACACAAGCGACGTCTAAATTCCAAAAGACCACCAAAGAGGCTGGCTATGAGTAATAAATCGGCCAAAATACAACATCTGATACCAAAAGTCTACCAATTAGTTTGGATCTGAGTATTAAATCTACCAAGAAACGATCTCAGATCCCAAAGGTCTACCAAACGAAGATCTCAGTTAGCGGAGTCTGTCTGTAAACCGTACTTGTCATCAAATAAACTTCGAGGGTTAGGATCAGACATCCGGGATTCTTCTGCTTCATGTACCTCATCAAAAATCTCAGCTGCGTATTTCATACGAATGAGAGGCATGTTGCTATCTTTCAGCTGGTCCCATTTATGGCACAAAGCCAAACACTCGATGGTCTTCAAAGTAAAGACGCCACAATCACCTGATAACAAGTACCCGATAATTAGTTAAAAGTCTACCAAATAAAAATACCAAATCTACAGAGCTGCATTGCACCTGTCTGTCTGTTTAGTGCCGCTGTTTTATACATGTAGATATGAAACTGCCCCTCCTTCATACCCTTCTTGAGCTTCGGTGGTGCCATATGTTTCAACAACAGCGGAATCATCCTCGCGTAGGGCTTCACAGACTCCTCCACCTCGCCTTTTCTGTATAAATCTGGAATGCAATCAAACACTCGGATCTTTTTTTTGGGAATGTCGACCTCAACGGCTACCCAATGTTCGTTGTTCACGTTGTGGGCGATATACACGAAATCAACATCTGTCCCCCATTTCTTGTGTGTAGGCAAGTAATGGTCGTAGTGACCGTTGGCAACGTCCAAATAACCATCACTGAATAGCCAACTCTTCTCGTTTGGTAGAAATTTGTTTCGATAGTCTCCACACCAAACTCGACAAAAGATAGGATCAAGGAAAGCAACTCTTCCCCCTTTGTAAGGAGATGGATACCGCATAGACCGTTGCCGGAACATGTCTAATCCTTTTACCATATGCTGCATTAGGTAATGAAACAAATTTATATAAGTCTACCAACCAGCTTTACAACCAAATTTATATAAGTCTACCAAACATAAAAGATACAAGTCTACCAAACATACAGACAAAATCTACCATTTGTTACTACATAATAGAATACAAGTCTACCAAACATAATGACTAAATCTACCATTTGTTACTACAAGTCTACCAAAGTAATTCTATCATTAAGTTTCCAAAGTCTACCAAACAATTTCCAAAGTCTACCAAACCTTTTGAAACTAAGATCGGGTGACTGATACGACCACATACCTGATCATGCAACCACCCATACTCCTTTCTCGGCCAGCTTTCTTTAGGGGTCATTAGTGTCAGGTAAAATTCTCCTCCTGCATATGGACACTCCAACTGTTTTTCCCTGAAAAATGACATAGACATACCAGAATCCGAAGTAAGTCTACCAACATACCTAATAAGTCTACTATATAAAACAAATAGGTCTACCAAATCAAACAAGTAAGTCTACCATGGAAATTTAAAACTGACTTACGCTTCAAAAGCTATGTAGCGGGTTAGATTATCCAGTATTCGACTGTCCACTGCTTCAAAAGGATCATACCTCCTAGGAGGGGGACCTGCTGGGTCCATGATGCGTCTCACCACTGAGTTACCAAGGTAGGGTGAAACCTGGGTCGGTGCAAGGCTGCGTCCCCTTTTTTCCTTCTCAGCAGGTGGATTTTTTGCATGTTCCACCAGCTTTTCTAAGCGTTTCTTCATAGCTTCAATCGCTGAGTCGTCTTCGTCTTGCAGGGAAGGGATCTGTACTCGTCTAGACTGTAGTGGGCGTGAAACGTCGCTTATATTGATTATCTGGCTTTCTTCGTTTTTGTCTTTTAAATCAGCTTTTGACTTTGTGCCTGATTTATTCTTCTCTTTAGGATCAGCAGGTTCTTTTTTCACTTTGGTTACAGTCTTTCCTCTCGACGCTGGGGTTCTAACAACTCTTGCAACAGGAAAACCTGGCTCTGATGTTTCCTCCCTCTCCATCATCCACGACTGCTTGGCATGTATAGTAATTTCACATCAGTCAAACCAAATAATAACATAACTAAATCTACCTAAAAATCTACCGAATTAATTATAAATCTACCTAATATAAATATCACTGCCAAAAATCTACCACATAAAGTTAGTCTTGTATTCCAAGAAAACATTAAAAGTCTACTATGCAGGAAAAGTTTTAAAAAAACCATCAATACAAGTCTACCAAAGTAAAAAAGTATTTCGTACAAATCTACCATAAAGGAAAGGAAAACGATCTGTTTAAACATAGTTGAATGTTGTCTCCATGACATTAGAAGAGAGACTTGCGTACCGGATCCTTTTCCACAGCTCCCGTTCCCGTTCCTGCTCCACCTCCCGTTGACGTTCCTGCTACTGGCGCTGCTGCTGGAGGAGATGCCTTTGCTCTAGGGGTTTTCGGTGAGGTTTTGGATTCTGCATCACCGGCATTATCATCATTGTTACCATGGTCGTTGTCAACCTTGTTCCCAGAATTCGCCATGGCCTCCTCTTTCTCTTCATGTTTATCCTCGATAACGGCAATCCTCTTATCCAGGTGGTCTATACGAATTACAGCACTGCTGACATTGTTGTTTAGCAATGCTACCGTCGTTGATAAACCATTGATTGCCATGAGGATCTCATTCGTCCTATCCTCCTTCTCCACAGCGGGCTCTTTCTTCTTGCTCTCGTTCTCTCTTTGCTTCTCTCTCTCCTGCTCCTCTCTTTCCTTCTCTCTTTCCTTCTCCTTTCTTTCTTTTCTTTTCTTTCTTTTCTTTCCTTTCTTTCTCTTTTCTTCAATTGCATCCTTTAGTAGCTTCACCGGCGAGTTAAAATCATCATCTTCTTCCTCATCCTCCTTCTTACGTTTCTTTTTCTCCTTCTCTTCTTTCCTTGCCTCTCTTTCCCTTCTCCTTTCCCTTCTCCTTTTGCTTCTCGGAGTTGAATCTGTTGCTTCAGCCTCTTTCACCTTCTCTTTCTTTTTCTTCTCCACGCGTGGAGTTTCCAACTTCGTCTTCGACTGTTTCGGCGTCTGAACTGTTGAAGCGCCACCTGTTGCATCGCCACCTACGTTTTTGGGAGATTCCCAGAACCCCTCATCCAAGCTTCCATCCAGAATATCGCATATCATGTTATGCACCTTTATATCGACGTCTACACGTCGGGGTTCACCTTCCCAGACAGGATATATTTCCTCCAAGGGCTTCACCACCAGTAGATGTCTAACCCGAACCTGCCATGCCATAGAAAATGATATTAATAAATCTACCATGATATTTATAAATCTATCAAACTGAATCAAAAACTCTACCAAAATGTAAAAACTCTACGAAACTGTACAAACTCTACCAAAATGTAAAAACTCTACCAAAATGTTAAAACTCTACCAAATTGTAAAAACTCTACCAAATGTTATATTCTACCACATTTAATAACTCTACCACAAATTGTTGTATAATAAATAACTCTACCAAACACTAAGCTATTATCAAAAAACTCTACCAACTCAATAGCTGCTAAGGTACAAGTACCTTGTGATCCTCGGTTTCACTCTTATCCATCTCCAAAAGAGTCTCGAAAACATTACGACACCGTGATGAAGTCCACCTAAGAAGAGGAACAACCGAGTCATCTACATCGGGGCGTATTTTCCCTGCTCTCTCAGCCAATATAGGGATGCACTCATAACCCCAAACAAGCATTGCCTGTACACATCCGTGGAGAGTGTATCGTGCTCCCCCCAAGTTAGCAATCTTGAGGGAATAAATTAGTTCATGGAATCCATAACGACCCCACGGCTGTCTCTCGAAAGCTGCTTCATCCATAACTGTTTTGGCTAAAGCCAACGGGATTCGACTGTTGCGGTGAAGTCCCAATACACCAACATGCAAAATGAAAAGCAACGCCAACATCTTCTTCTTCTCATAAGTCCATGCTTGGCAAGTTTTCATCCGAGCTTCTAACTCATTCCAATTGGGGCCTTCCCCACCTCTCACTCCAATCTCGGCCCAAAATTCGGTGTGATCTATTTCCACCTTGTCATTGGGATCAATTGGGTCACAGTTTAGCCCCGTGATTTCAGCATACTCTAAGAGTGAAAATCTAACCGGGCGACCTCCAATAAGAGTCCAAAACTCATGATTCCTATCCACCTTCAGTTGGTTGCTCACAAAATACTGAACTGTCTTAGCACTCCATATGAACGAAGACAATGCAAACTTCAGTAGCACGCCAACTTGAGAATTATTCATGATGTCGTTGTAAATATCATCCCCAAGGTGATCCCTGATCATCATGATGAACTCATGAAGCTTGCAGTTATGATGACAACTCTTCTTCAGCAAAGGAGATTTGCCTTCCGGGTACAATCTTTGGGGATAATCCTTTGAGCCGCTAGCTGAAGCCATGTCTGCAAACAATAGGTAAGATTAAAATCTTACAAATCTACCACACATCAAAACAAATCTACCATGAACTTACACATGTCTACCAAACTCGACAACAACTATAGAATACCTACCACAAAACATTAACAAATCTACCAAAACGAACACAAATCTACCAAAGAAAAGAAAATATACAACGCAAATCTACCAAATAAATACATAAATCTACCACACACAGAGAGAACGCAAATATAGAATTCGTAAGTCTACCAAACTTATCATGTCTACCAAACAAGAAAGCAACTATAATATAAAATCTACCAAACCCGGGAGCAACTACAGTATATAACTCTACCACATACGACCACAAGTCTACCACACATGATATAAATAAACCAACAATACATAAATCTACCAATACAATATCAACATTAACTCTACCAACAATACTACCACACAATGAAACGAAAACAAATCTACCTCACATAGAAAAGAACTCCGTTAAACACGAATAAATCTACCGTTAAGCATATACAAATCGAACAACTGCAACCAACTGCTGAAAGTCTACCAAAAAGAAATTAAAACCGAACCACTACAAACAGAAATTGGTCGCCGGAAATCGTCTGGGCTCAGTATAAACCGTTCTCGAAAGACGGAACCCGCCGATAATACTTCCCTGAAAAAAAAAAAGCAAAGGGTTACGATTTCTGGGTAAAGGGTTTTCGACTACGAACGAAAAGATGGAGTTCTCTTCTGACGTTAGCGCGAAACCACCATTGAAACCCAAACACAACCGTCGCGAGTAAAACCCAAACACAACCGTCGTGAAAACCGAAGTCAAAACTTGTTCGCGACGAGAAACTAACCCAGACGTCAAGACTTACGAGATGAGTGGCCAAAAAGCTTTCGTCGCCGCCGAAATCGTCTCCTTCGTCGCGAAATCGCCGAAATCGTCTCCTTCATCGCCAAATCGCCTTTACAGTCGCCGCCGGAGGAGATTAGGGTTTCAGTTTCTATTTTTATGTTTTTGTATTTTCGATTTTCGATTATAAGTAATTAAAACGATTATGATTTCTTTTTTTTGTAAAATGTTTTTTTAAAGATTTTTTAAAATCGAATGGCAATCTGGTAAAAATATTCATTATTTGGACAAAATGGTATAACACCAACTTTCTAAGGTTAGTCTAGTAAGCTGATGAATATGTTAGGCTAAGTTTGTCAATATATTAACCTTAAAGGTTAGTCTGAGGAATTTTCACTTTATTTTAAATAGCCAAAAAGTATTAATAACCCCTCAAGGATTCAGGGATGGAAGTCTCACATTCATATCAATTAAGTTCCAGAAAAAATAAACTCTAGGATCTTTATTTCACAATGTAAAAACGTTTAATTTTTTGTATAATATATTTTTTATTTATAGCAAAATTGAAAAAAATAAAATGATTATTAATTGCGATAGAAGTATGTCTAAATAGTCTTTTTGTTTCATAATACTTTATTTTTATCTAAAAACACATAGATTAAGCAATTTAATTTTCATTACAAAATATTATTTAAATATAAATTAAAAACGACAATCCAACCAATCATTAAAAAAATAATATTATACAATTGATCATAGAATATCCAATAAAAATATAAAATTGCATAAAAATTTGAGAGAATCTTATCTCTTTTTTTTGCTAAACTAATATCGTATATTTTAAAACAAACAAATCTTCTCAAATAACTTGTATTATAAAACAGATAGATATTGAAAATGTACTTCTTCTTATCATGCAATGTGCATGCATCTTTTTTCTTTACTTTGAATTATTAAATAAAAAATTTCTCATAATTTTTGTTTAAACAATAAAACATTATTAACAAACTAACAAGTATTGTTAAATTTTAGAGTGAATGAGTATTTCATGAGTGCTTTTACAGAAACTATTGGTATTTCATGGATATTTGATTTATTTTTTTAAAACGTGTTTGGTAAGGTCTAAAATACAGTGAATTTTAATATCATTTCTTATATAATCAATCGTTATAAATGACTATTTCGTATTGACTAAATTAGATTGACAATGGCACATGGTTTCATTTTATATATCCTATCTTTTAGGAGAAAAAAATTGACTAGGTTTCTTTCTCATCTTCAATATTTTCATATTATAAGTTTTTGAAATTTTTGATTCTCTATGTGTAGACCAAATATAGCTGGGATAAGAAATCATAGAAAATCATATGACATATGTCTAATTACAAATGGTTTTTTCATAATAAAATTATCAAATGAGTTATTATAAGTTCTACGTATTTTGTACTTATTCCGAACAACACATGAAAACAAATACCCTTACTAACGGTTCTTTGATTGACATCAAAAGAGGTTGTATATCGAGGAAAAATTGACGATTTCTATTATTGATGGATCGAGATAATTGGAAATGTTTATAAGGTTTGATCATAAGTTCAATTATGCTAAAACTCAAAAATATTACATCTTTATTAAATTGTGTACTTAAGTCATGAACATCTTTATTAAACTGACAGTCTTCGAATCAACTAACTCTCTTTTGTAAACACGTCATTTTTTTCATAGAATTTTGTTAAAAGTCAACCAAATATCAAACGAAATTTCCTTAATTTCCTCCCTTTTTAATTAATGCTTTAGATCTTTAATATCTTCCCATAAACTCACCTTAAAAGAAAAAAGAAAAAAAAAACACACACACAAACACAAATAATATTGATATTCAAATAAATTGATGTGTCGATATTCTTTCCCCAGTAGATGTTCCATCGATTTTAGAAGCCAGAGTCTAAATTTCATTACAGAAGCAAAAATTCTAATTTTCATTAGAAAAAAAAAATTATAGTTTGACTTTTAGACTAGAAATAACGATGACTGACTGTTATAATATAAATTTCCGGTCAAATGAAAAATGTACATATAAAAATTGAGATGACTCTATTAAAAGAAACTAGATAAATACAAGGCCGTTGTTTTTGATCGACCCACATTAGTTTGTCAACTGAAAAAAGCTAACACTAAAAAAAACAGTTATGACGTTGCTGTCAAATTAGGCAAATAATTGAAGACTACACTTAAATGTTTTTTATGCGTTTAAAAATATATCTCCGTCTGATAAAAGTTTTAATTTTTTTTTTAAAAAAAACCAACATATTTCTAGTCTTTTTTTTTTGAACAGCAAACCTAACCATATCATTAATAACCGACATTAAATATAGTAGTGGG